AGAAGAGAGGGTTGTTCACGTTCCCCTTCTAGAGGGAATACAGAAATTTTGTTCATTTATGATTTTTAGCTTTTGCCAATCGTCGTGAAAAGACCTGTGGGCAAAAGCAGCTCGGGGGAACTGGAGGGTAGTCTGATTGTTTATGACATGAAGCGGCGAGGTTGCTTTGTATGAAAGTTAACGGCCTGCGTTCATGACATGAAGATGTTGTTAGTTAACGTGTAGAATTTACTAAATGAATTGGCTTCGCCTATATTGGGCTGACATATTGACCTTTGTGACGATAGCGTTGTTCTATTGTAGAGACAATGGTTGTAGTTTTGCAGGTGACATATATACATGTGTACGGATATTCATATGTATGTTGGTTGGTTTGTGTATGCATTATTTATTGGCAATTTTATATATACATACATACATATATATGTGGACATATAAATCAATGTGCGCACATATAGCAGAGAATGTTAATATATGAATATTTACATATACATATATTTATTAACACTCTCTGCATATAGTGTATTGATAAGTGATAAATTATGATTTGCATTTCTGAATGCGTACATTTAAATACGGTTTTAGAATGAGGTACATATTACTGATCCCTGACTTTCAGTTCAAGTGCGTTTAGCACCATCTCTGCTTTCAAAATAATTAGTGAAGATTTTGTTTTTATTATTTATTATTTCTTATAAGAGAATTTATTTGATAAGAATTTATTAAATAAAAAAAGGTACAATTTTTAATCATTGTCGTCGGACAGTAAGGATACTGGCACAACAAAACAGTTCACCACGTTAGATTTGGGAATTGAGCACTTTTGTTTCCAACGGTCCTCGATATAGACTGATACACATGCCTCCGGATAACATGCTGAGTGCTTCCAAATAGCCCATAGTTTATTGTCCAGCGATACTAAAGAGTTATTGTAACCTTCCAAAGAGCAAATCTGCGAAATGTTTTTAAAAATATTTAGTTTTATACCAAGCGGTTGGCAAAAATCAACTTGATATACCTGAGACCACATGTTTCGCTGAGGATCGTAACGTTCAACACTTTTACCGCCTGAAACATAAATGTGACCGTTATGTACAGCTACCTGTAATATAAAAAGTAGCAATAAATATTGTATGTAATTTTAATGGGGCTAGGAGGGCGGCTAAGTAAATCAGTAACTATTTTTAGTTAGACAATTTTTTGATCACTCCTTTTGAAGCGGAGCTACTTTTGCTTCTAGCGAAGGCTTACAACGGTGAATTCAAGTGGAATCAGTTATTGCAGCGGCAGTATGTAGTTCACAAGAAAATTTGAAAACTCTAGACCGGATATGACTTCGACTTTATTCCACATACTTAAACACATCTGCAGTAAAAAACAATCCAAAAAGTCGAAATGCTTTGTGTATAGAATTAGCCTCTGAAACATGGTTTTAGCTCTTACGAATTTCAAGACTTAAGTAAATTTGTTATATGCTCTTCTTTGACTCTTCGTCGTTCTTCCAAATTTAGGCATGGTGAACATCCTCCTAATATTAACAATTATTTTGAATCTAACTTACACCAGGTGACCATTGGTAATCATTTCTAATATCCGTACAAGAAGTCCAAGTATTCGAATCCGGGTTGTAGCATTCAGCCTTATGATCATTTGTACCGCCCACTACGTAAATTTTACCATTCAAAGTCACTGCACTGGCGCTGTATCGTCCAACAATCAAACTTTTCACTAACTCCCAACCACCGGATGTCGTATATCTGGAA